TCACCACGCGCAGTACCAGCGCCATCAAGTCCTCTCCTTCCCGCGCATATTCCTGCATGCGCAACAGGAAACTGTAGTAGAGCGCGGCATCTGTAGGCGAAGAATGGTGCTCCTTGACATATTCGTCATATGCGACGAAGAGGGCGTCAATGGATCCATCGTGGGAGTCTTGCGCGCGAAGAACGATATTGTGAATGGCATCGGAGACTACTGCGGTGTCAGTATGTTTATTAACCAATCCTTCTCTCGACTATTTTACCTTCATCCCGACAAAGATCATCAGCTGTTATAGCCCTCGCATCATCTCCATTCAGCCTCATGGAGGATAGCATTCGTGCACGCGACTCGTTCGTCTCCGGCGCGTTCGCGACAACATGGAAGGGACCGGCGGCTGTAATGATTCAAACAGCAACCAAAAAGCAGCGGCATGCGAGTAAGTAGTCGTGGGTTCGTCGCGCAACAATTAAGCATTACAAGTCCAAAGTAAGAAGAGAGGAGCGATGAAGGGGCTGTTGGTGCGCCCGCGTTTTGGCGTTGCAGCGACGCGCTTTGTTGTTGGAGCGGTTGGCCGCCCGCGTTCGTGGATGCGAGGGCGCCAAGGCTTTAGTTGGGTGGGCCCTGTTCGTTGACCTCATCGAGATGGAAGAGCGTGGGTTCGCCGTGGCCAAAGAACTTCGTATATCTTGGAGGAGTCACGTCTCAATAACACTGCTACTCATACTACTCGAGAGGGATACATAGTACTGCTCGAGATGCCCGGTCGAACCCGTCCCATCGATAAACTCGCCACAGCGGCTGCAAAATGCTCGACGGAGGTATGATACGCCCCTCAGTGACAGTCAGATTTAACACGATGCTGACATACTCCAGAGCGCAGTATACGGCAAATGCATCTTCGCAGACTACAACAACGTACGGAAAGACATGTGTGTCAACGAGTTCATGAAACTCAAGGAGTGCTATCTGGTAAGATCTCGTCACAACGTCAAAAGCCATGACAACTAACCCCAGTTACAGAAGGCATATAAGCAGCGGTGACGGCACTTGTAACAACACATCTTCATCATAGAATCACACAGCATACGAAGGCGTTCATTGTAAACATGGAAATTTTGATTTCATTTCATCAACCAGTCATGCGCGCCACGATACTATCGAACTACACAAAAAAGCCACTATAGCTTGATCAACCGCAACATGAAAGTCGCCTTGTGGAGCTCTTGCTCTTCTTCCGCAATGACCTTCTCGTTACTGTTTTCCGGGATCTTGCCCTCAACCTCAGTGATGACGTGCTTGTCGACAGGTCTTCGCAAAGCCTTCTCAAACAATGGGCCCTGGTTCTCAAACGCCTTCTCCAATCCTACATTTTCGGGATCATTCAGCACTCGGTACTCCATGCCTACGTCGTCGGTTGGCACCAGTCCGGCCTTCTTGCGCAGATCTTGTACACGGCGGATGACCTCACGAGCGAGGCCTTCTTGCTCGAGCTCTGGATATGAGGCGACGTCGAGGAGAATGAGGACATCGTTATCTGTGTTGAACTCCTGGTCCTTGTTGCTAGAGTCCTTTGCGAGACCGCGCTTGACCATCAGATCCTCGGCCTCAAGCTTGATGCCGTCCACGACAATCTCGCCGTTCTTCAGGTAGTCCTTGATGTCTTGGCTCTTGAGGTTTGGTAGCGCCTTCTTGACCTTGATGGCGTCCTTCTTCAGCTTCTTGCCGAGCACAGAGAAGTCGGCCGTAGCTGAGTACTGGACGTTGTACTTCTCCTCATCACTGGACAGCACAATATCGCGGACGTTCAGCTCCTCCAGAATGTAGTTCTCCAATGACTTGATGTCGTCAAGGTATTGTTGTTCTGGGTGGATGACCACCAGCGTCTTCAGCGGAATCTTCAGACCCTTGTTGGCACGGTCACGGCAGATACGGCCAAGCTCAATGACTGACTGCATGCGCTTGACTTGGCGCTCGACATCCTCGTCAAAGAGCTCTTCTCGCACTTCTGGGAAGGGGAGGAAGTGGATGCTACGGTTATCTTCCGCGTGCAGTTCCTTGGGGATGTGAGGTAGTAATCGCAGGTAAATGTTGTCTGTGATGAAGGGTGTGAAGGGTGCAAGACCGCGGCAGAGTGTGTAGAGGACTTCGAAAAGGGTGTTGAGAGCGTGTTTGGTGTCCTCCAGACCGTGCTCACCCTTTAACCGGCGACGGTTGAAGCGAATGTACCAGTTTGTTGTGTTGTCAATGAGCTCCAATAACCGCGGAACCACGGTGTACAGCCTGTACGCAGCCATCTCCTCGTTCACGAACTTTAGCAGCGACTGGGTGGACGCGAGGATCCATCGGTCGAGCACGTTCTTGTTGGTCTTTCCAGCTGCCGGGTCGAACACGAAGTCCAGACTCTCGACCTTCTTCAGCAGCGACACTTGTTGCTCGAAGAACTGGTAACTGTTCCAGAGAGGTAGAAGAACTTTGGAAACAATCTCCTTGACACCTGCTTCCTTGAATCGAAGTGTCTCGGCACGAACGACGGGAGAGTTGATGAGGTATAAACGCAGCGCATCAGAACCGTAGTTGGTCATGATCAAGTTGGGGTCGGGGTAGTTCTTGAGACGTTTTGACATCTTCTTACCATCTTCCGCAAGCACGATACCATTGACGACGCAGTTCTTAAAGGGCAGCTTTCCGAAAAGATGTGTTCCGAGGACAGTGAGTGTGTAGAACCAACCACGAGTTTGGTCGAGACCTTCGGCAATGAAGTCACCAGGGAAGGACTTCTCGAATTGCTCCACGTTCTCGAATGGGTAATGCGCGCTGGCGTAGGGCATAGAACCAGACTCGAACCAGCAGTCAAAGACCTCATCTGTTCTTCGGAGCACACTCTTGCCATCTTTGCTGGGAATGGTGATGTGATCGATCTTATCCCGGTGAATGTCGGTTAGCTCACCCTCATACCCGCTGAGCTTCTTCAGCTCCTCCACGCTGCCAATGCAGACCACCTCTTTGCCGTCATCGCTGACCCATATCGGAAGTGGCGTACCCCAGAAACGGTTTCGTGAAACAGCCCAGTCGGGTGAGTTGGTGATCCAGTTGGCGAAGCGCTTCTCCTTGACGAAGGAAGGAACCCAGTGCGAACCAGCAATGTTCTCCAGCATTTGCGGCACGATATCCTGGATCTTGATGAACCATGAGGGGACCGTTCGGTAGATCAAGGGTGTGTCAGACCGCCAGCAGAAGGGATAGCTATGGAGAAGTTGTGAGTCTACGATCAAGCGACCGGTGCCTTTCAGATGCTTGATAATGCCCTTGTCTGCTGCCTTGACGTGCTGACCCTCGAAGTCACGGACAACGGCAGTAAAGCGACCTTGGTCATCGACTGGGTTGGGTGGCGGTCGGGTGTCAGAGATGACGCCGTGGGCCTTTGCAACGCGGTAATCGTCCTCTCCATATGCCGGGGCCTGATGAACGATACCCACACCACTGTCTGCTGTGACGTAGGTGTCGTTCGCCACCTTGAAGCCGTAGTCCTTGAACTCGTCGTAAAGGTAGTCGAACAGGGGCTCGTACTTCCAGCCCAACATATCCTTGCCCTTCAGCTTCTCCACGACCTTGAACTTGGCCTTCTTCGGGTCCTTGTATAGTGTGCGTAGCAGGGCTTCGAGTAGGATGTAGTGTTTGCCGGACGCTTCGTCGAGAATCTTGACGTATTCGAAATCGGGATGCGCGCAGAGACCGGTGTTGGATGGGAGTGTCCATGGCGTGGTGGTCCTGTTCGGGCTGGTCAGCGCACGCCAGTAGCACTGGGTTGGAGTGAGTAGCTTACCATGCCAACAAACACGTGTTTGGGTCGTCGAGCAGCGGGAATGTGACGACTACAGCTGGGTCCTGAACGTCCTTGTAGTTTTGTGAGGCCTCGAAGTTGCTGAGAGGCGTCGCCAGCGCTGTGCTGTAGGGCATAACCTTGTAGCCCCGGTATACGGCGCCCTTGTCGAAGAGACGCTTGAAGACCCACCACTCCGACTCCATGAAGCTGGTGTCCATGGTCTTGTAGTCGTTGTCGAAGTCGATCCAGCGACCCAGACGGTCGATAGTCGCCCTCCACTCGGTCGCATATCGCATGACAATCGCGCGGCACTTCTTGTTATATTCGGCGATTCCGATTTCGCGCACAGCGTCGCGTCCCGACATGCCCAATTCCTTGTCGATCTCATACTCAATGGGCACACCATGAGTATCCCAGCCGAACCGTCGCTCGACATAGCGGCCCTTCATGGACCAGTAGCGGGGAATGATATCTTTAATGGTCGAGGCCAGGAGATGGCCATAATGCGGCATTCCTGTCGCGAAAGGCGGCCCATCGTAGAAAGTGTATGGTTGCTTTCCTTTCGACTATGGCGAGTTAGCAAGTGCCGACCACACGTGCTTGGGTTCACTGGGCTGTAGCATAGTCACGTACTAGCTCGACTTGTCTCTGGAAGGCGTCAATCTCCTTCCAGCGCGCGAGGATGCGCTCCTCCTCGCTCGGAAAGTTCATCGACATGGTGGCGGCGTGAGTATGCTGAGACAGAGCCGTGGCGGGGAATCTTTTTCTAGAGCCTAGAGTTGACTCCTCCGATCCCCGCCATTAGCGTGACTCAGCCGCTTATCGATAGCACCCCGCCATACCTAGCCATCGACGACGGATGACTCCTGCAACTAACAACATGTCTTGGTCATAGCGAAGTTTCCTCACTGCACAGATATCTCGTCATCAAGTGAACTGTATCAACTAATCCAATTCATTCATGCAACCGCCAGTAGAGCTATTCATCGTAACTGGAAACGTCAGAGCATACTCGCCATGAAACGTCGCATACCTACATCTTCGTTGCGGCTCTGCGGCAAGTGAGAAGGGTTGAAACATTGACAGATCTAGCTGATTACGATGGATATTCCAAGCCGATGTGGCAGCCATCACCTCTCACTTTTGTCTGGGCATTCTTATCACATACTTCTGATCGACAATGCGTTTTCTCGTATTCCTTGTTACTTCGTTATTTGCGCTCGTCATAGCTTCAAAGGACTCGCCAAACAATCCATCTACCCAGCCTCTGCGAGGCAGCGACACTATCATCAGTCCCAGAGATGCCGACATTGACAAGACATGTAGACGCTTACGTACGTTGACACAGCTCAACAAGATCGCACATAACGAGACCCTCATGGATACGATGATCGTGCGCGACAAGTTCGCCCAAAAACGCATCGACTGGATCAAGAGCAACAGTGACGACATCACTACCAAACTCGACAAGCTGACATCCAACTCGACGCTGACAGCGGAATGCGACACATTCAATGCGCAGCGCGACGCAGTCCGTCAGTGCAAGGCATTGCAGGCATTGGAAAGACTGGTAAATTCGACGAACGGGCAGACTGATTTCAATGGAGGACCTGCTTCAGACTTTCTCAGCGATGAGCAGAATCAGAAATTACAACAAAAGTTCGAGAAAGTGGAGCTCAAGCTGCAGCAATTCAGGAGTAATGCAACATTGATGGGTCTCTGCAGCAACGATGTTGTGTTCCAGCAGGATGGCGCCATTGGAGATCGTAGGTCGTTTTTCTACAGTGCGAAACCGAAATGTACTGACTTACATACAGAAGTGGTTGACAACAGCGGCGCCATCAGCATGACGAAAAGTAGTGCAAGGAGTAATGTGCATGAATCAGGAAATGCTTCATCACTGATGATTTTCATGGTTCTGATGACAGTGTCGATGCTGTAGTACTCCCTTCCTTTATGTTGGAAACAATAGCCGGATAAATCGTGTCACTTCGTCGCTTTTTGCGGTTACATGCATGCACGCCAATATAGGGAAAAACTGAACAGGTCTGGAGCCTACATCATCGTTAGGGCACCTACTTTGCAGGTTTCCATGTTAATGTAGGCTGCAGACCTGTTCAGCTTTTCCTTTGTATGAGGTGCATGAGGGATGGGGGCACGTGGCGGGGTGTTCGACGACGTGCATGTTGTGGCGTAGCCGTAAAGATGTGCGAACTCAATTCCAAGTCATGGTCATCTCATCAATATTTTACCATGGTCAATGCGATTCTTTGTGGCACAGCTCCACCTGCATAATAGGGAACGACAGAGCATCTTTACCGGACATGTCGATGACAATGACGAGCAATACCAATCGCGCATCTATGCATGAGAAACCCGTGCGTTGTACGCCACAAGGGATACCCTTATTTCTGCCAACGATAACTACACCGCGTCTTCGATCAAAACGCCCCGTTTCTGTGCTGGTTTACCCCATCCACCCACTCTTTCGGGCTTGACTCCCGTCTTCTGAGTTGCCATCAAGACACCCGGTGGTATGGCGACATTCGACTTCGGCGACCCACCCCCGGGCCTTAATCTCAGCGAGTCACGGACAGTCGGAAACAGCGTTGTCGCAATCATCTTGTTTGTTCTTTCTGGTGTGTTTGTCGCACTGAGGCTGTTTACTCGCCTGAAGTTGAAACAGGAACAGCTGGGGTGTGATGACTACTTGATCGTTGCTGGACTGGCATTGAACGCGGGGAATCTTGCGTGCTGTATCGTTGGTTGGTGGCCAATTGCTGGGCAAAAGTCTTGATCTTACTAACTCAATAGAAAGGTGGTTTCTATGGCTTGGGCAGACACATCTGGGCTCTAGGGCCAGAACAAATGCGACATATAACTATCGTGTGTTTGCATGTCTAAGCGTACTTTTACGGGACTAACATCAAACAGATCACTTTCGCATACGTATTTGTCTACGCCTGGAGTATCTGTGTCATCAAACTCTCCATCCTCGCCTTATATCGACGCATCTTTGGTATCAATTGGCTGGGTTGGTTCTGTGTTGGCATGACCGCTGCCTACCTGATCACAAACCATGTCGTTCTGCCATTGTACACTCGACCGTTGAGCTACTACTGGGATCAATGGAATGGGGCTCACGGAGAAATTCTCGTCGATGAGGCGAAGGTGCGTCCTAGGTGCGTTCACTCTGGATGAAGCTGTCTGCTGATACATTGGCAGTTCTACCTTGGCGCCGGCATCTTCAATCTCTTCGGCGATGTGTGTATACTTTGTATACCAGTATCCAACGTTGTCAAATTGCAGATGAAAAGAATGGAGAAAGTGGCGATCTGCTTTATCTTCCTACTCGGCAGCTTGTGAGCACTCCGAAGTAAGATATCCGTATTATTTCTAATCGTCGTAGTGTGTGCTTTGCCTCGCTTTATCGTATCATCACCATCGTCCGATTGATGGCCTCGCCAGACGTCAGCTGGAAAAAGAGCGATGTCTTCATATGGTCATCCGTCGAGCCATCGATTGGCATCATCTCTGGATGTCTTCCAACGCTTCACCCGCTTTTGATTCGTATAACGCGCTGTTTGGCAGGTGCACTCGGTGTTACACCGAGCCATACTCCGGAGCAGGAGGGCCCTGAGAGTCGCGAGACTGGGTCGAGGACGATCAACGCTTGGACAGAACGCTGGGGTAGAACTCGGCCAGCCGAAGAAGATTTGTGCTTGACTACGACAACAGTGTGCGGATCTGCTAATGAAAATGATGGGATCACCTGGCAAGACTTCATCCTGGGACGCCATGAAGAGAGGAGGATTACTATGACGCATGAGTTTGCGATAGACGAGAGCATACGGAGTCGCAACAGCTCAAGATGAGACTAAGCTTTTGCACGTTGCTATGAGATGAGATTTGAACCATGTATCACCATTGGCAGCTGAAGCGACGAGCACGTTCGTTGGAGGACTTCAGGCGCGAGGTAGAAGGGAAGGCGGCCGTGTTGGCGGCAACTGAGTAGGGCGCGCCGCTGCAGATACTCGGTTTGGAGGGCGAGAAGGGTCGACTTCAACAGACACCATCCGAAGTTTCTGGGATGATGCAGGTGTCTGAGTTGTCGACTTCGGAAGTCCGTCGCACCTGTCGGGTGCATGCAAGCTAGCGCAGAAGGGCCCCCAGGTCACATGTCTGCCTCAGGGCTCGGCGCGACCGCCGAAACCCCGCAATACTACTTCGTCTCTTCTTCCTCCACTGAACTAACACCTGCGCACGATTTATCCGTCAAATATGCACAATGACTGTGAGGCGTCCGGACATAAGCCCCCAATCTGTTTCCTGGCCGGTGCATGGTGTGACACGGCGTACATGCCTCGAGTTTGTGATGCCACCTGGGCAAATTCTTGGCCATACCACCCGAGAAGGAACTCTAATAGTAGATCCACGACTCATTGTCCCATTGAAATTGCGGTCGGCCCGTATGCTACGATTGCAAGAGGAATGAGAAGATCAAGGTGGATCATTCACTTCTACAATCATTGAAGAATGTCGGGATAGGGTGCCGGTCTCCGCATTTTGCACCCCGCATGCTGGAGGTGGCTTGTTAAGTCTACCGCGTTTTTCGCACTGGGTATAAAGACTGCTTGTCGCTAAAGTCCCATCATGATCGTTGCTAAGTCTTTCTTCCCCGTCGACATGTTTCGTACATCGTTGGTATTGCTTGTCTCGCACTTTGCGCAGACTGGACTCGCGGCGGCATCATCTGAATTCGAGAGGAAGTGTCTCGCATTCGAGCCCGAGAGGTACATCAAGGGCGCAACCCGCAATGTTCTCCAATATGTTCCGGCAGGAACTAATTTGACGTTTCCGGACAACGACGCGACTTGTGGACGTGCTAGCCAGGTTATCTCAGTAGACCTTTGTCGTATGGCATTAGAGATCAAGACGACCAGAACATCGAAGATCTCTTTTGAAGCATGGTTTCCGGAAGACTGGTCGGGTCGCTTTCTGGCAACAGGGAATGGAGGCATTGATGGCTGTAGGTGATGAATGAGTAGAGGATAGCACAAGTACTACACCGGGTGCTGACAGCGATAACAGGCATCAAGTATGAGGATATCGCATATGGAGCGTCGAATGGCTTCGCTAGCGTTGGTGCAAACAACGGCCACAACGGTACTACAGGAGTAGCCTACCTCAATAATCCCGAGATGGTAGTTGACTTCGCCTGGCGATCGTAAGAATGTCTCTACTACCCACGGCGCATATACTCACCGGCAATACAGTCTTCACCTAAGCGTCGAAACGGGCAAAGCCTTAGCCAAGGAGTTTTACGGGAAGTGCCATACCAAGTCTTACTACTTAGGCTGTTCTCTCGGTGGACGCCAGGGCATCAAGAGCGCAGAGAGGTTTCCAAACGACTTCGATGGCATAGTTGCTGGCGCTCCAGGCGTCGATTTCAACAACCTCATCTCCTGGCGCGCACACTTCTACACCATCACCGGCCCCATCAAAGGTTCAGACTTCATCTCGAAGGCAGCATGGCAGACTTGGATCCACGACGAGGTGCTACGCCAATGCGATACCATCGATAAAGTCAAAGACGGCATCATCGAAGATCCAACCCTATGCAAGTTCGATCCTACAACCCTACTCTGTGGTCGCAACACCACGAACACAACCAACTGCCTAAACAACAACCAAGTCCAGCAACTTCAAAAAATCTTCAGCGACTACCGCTTCCCAAACGGCGAGCTAATCTACCCCGCAATGCAACCCGGCAGCGAAATCAACGCCGTCGACAAACTCTACGCCGGCGCCCCCTTCGCCTACTCAGACGACTGGTTCAAATACGTCGTCTACAACGACCCAACGTGGAACGCATCGGAATACGGTTACGACGACGCGCAAGCAGCGCAAGACCTCAACCCAGGAGATATTCGCACCTACCCTTCTTCTTTCCCTGGATTTAAGGAAAGCGGCGGGAAGTTACTCATGTACCACGGCCAGCAGGATAACCAGATCACGTCTTTCAACACCGACCGGTTTTATGAGCACCTTCGCGGTCACAACACGTACGCAGAAATGGATGAATGGACGCGTTTCTTCCGTATCTCGGGCATGTTCCATTGCAGCACGGGGCCAGGGGCGTGGGTGTTCGGTCAGGGTGGAAATGCGGCGCAGGCTGGTATTCCGTTCGATGCGAAACACAACGTTCTTGCGGCGATGGTGGAGTGGGTGGAGAAGGGTGTTGCGCCAGAGGTTATTGAGGGCACGAAGTTTGTTAATGATACTGTGAAGAGTGGAGTGGACTTTACGAGGAGGCATTGCAAGTATCCGGCGAGGAACACGTTTGTCGGGGGTAGTTATAAGAAGCCTGAGAGCTGGGAATGTAGAGCATAGGCTGAGAAACAAAATCAAACTGTCTGCTCAAGTAATGGAAGTCGCGATAACATACTGTTCCTCATTCCGGTCTTTCTTCATTTTGCGATCACCTTGCACAATGAGAATCCTGAACAGGTTTGCAGCATACATTAAAATAAAAGCACGCAACGTAGCTGATCTAACGTCAAAGTAGGCTCCGGGGTTTTTAAGTTTTTTCTTCTTGAACGAGGTGCGATGCTGCCGAACGGTCGCTGTGGTTAATTCAGGGTGCGTACTTCGAGTTCAGACGACGCCGTGGTAACAATGCAGACGCGGGCAATCGACGGCTTTCGAGAAGTTGCCTGATTTGGACTGCGTCAAGCAATGTGCAACAGCCTCGCTCAACCCCTCCAAAGCCTGAGATTTGATCCTCAACTGAAAAGCTTTCATTCGCCAATCCACAAATTCTCTGCTTAGTTTGCGGCGCGTTCCTTCAGTTCTCTGGAAGCACTATCCAAGTGTTTCTATCCTATGACAACGGGGCGGTAATCGCTAAACGAGCTCTGCCACCATGTACGGCGTTCCCAA